CAGTCTCATATGTAAATCTTGAATATACAAATTTGTCACAGTTTGGATCTTGTTTTATTTGAGTTTTTGAGAATAGACGGTGAAGAGAAAAATTATGTTTATATATAACGAAATCTCATCTCATTCCACTCTCTGTAAATTTTGGTTATGACTTGTGAAATTGAATGATTTACAATAACTCTCATTACATTCCACTCTTTGTTAACAGTAGAGCTAAGTTTTTGGGATTGGGAAATGTAATGATTTACAATAACTCTCATTAGATAATAAGTATGAAGTATATAGGACATGGGACAAAAGTGTTGCTTCAGTGTTGATCTTTGGAAGAGAATCCAAAAACTGTTAAAGCTTGCAATATGAGTGAATTTAAACCAAATCGAATTGATTCTAGTAGTTGTGGATTCAGATTTACCAATGTTTGTTTAGGTCGAATATCGAATTTCATCTAAATTTTGGCCACTATAGACTTTGTAATTGTAGGAGTGGAAAGGGTTTTATATTCCAGTCTGAGTTTGCAATTTTGTTAGTAAAAAATATGAAGGAGTCGAAAGAGATTATCCTTTTTGTATTTTACCAACTTTAGGAAACCCAATTGATCAATATTTCTTATCGGAGAAACACACAAAAGAGCTTTAAAATTAGGGAGAAGGCCCATTAACATATAGATGAGCCTTTTAAGGCCCATTTTGATAAGCCTTCCTTCTTTTTCCAACAGTTGATGAGTCTTCTAACACTAACAATTGTTTCAATTAGCATTCATCAATCATTTTATTGGGGGTTAAAGTATCAATCAATCCTTTAGGATATGAAGCTTTATTGTTCAATTTTTGTTTGATTTTGATGTTTCGTGACCACATGGTCTGCCTTTGTTAAACATTGTTCTGATATGCAATAAACTCCAGTGTTAAAAAAAAAGAAGTATCAATCAATCATCAATCATCTTCTACATTATTCTATAACATGTACATAGTTGATTTTTCTTAACTAATCTTACCAACTGAAAACGACATTTGAGAATTGTTTTAGTTGGGTTAAAATAGAAAAGGGACACGAATTTAAATAAATCTAGTTTTTTTTTCCTCAAGATTAAACTCATAAGTCATTATCCATATATTTAACGCTGCTACAATCTCTTATCTATATATATAATAGCAAAGTTTTCTCTCCATCTAAGGTATCCACATAAGCAAAATATT